AAATATCTAAACGCTATTCTCATTTAAAGAAAAAAAACGACCAAAAGCTAAGTCAAAGGCCTAAGGAGGAAAAGCTTTACAGAAAGAATACATTAGGATTGATACTCCTGTGTGGCCGGATCCAGAGGTCTTCGGTCAGTGCGGGTGGCGCCAGCTTCACCCTGCCTTCGGGAAGGTAGTGCTGACCCAGGAGCTGTCCCGGCCGAGGCAGAGGAGAGGTGCTCGGTCCTGCACTGGGCGGGCCGCACCGTGTCCAGAGGCATCACCAATGGTCAGCTTCACCTGCCCTTCTTACTCTGATGTGTCTTCCAGCACGGTTGCTCCTGTCTCCTTCCACTCTTCTGTACAGGTTGTTCCTGGCTGGGCACTTTTAAATTTTAAAGAGAGCATTTCTTCACTTGATCAGTTTTCAAAAATATTTTTCCCAGCACACGTGCAAATCCCGCCCCTCTCACCAGATCTTCAGGTGGCCGTGTCCCATCGCTGTGGTTTCCCCGCCAGCGTCTTTATAAATAAATTGCACTTCTTGATTGCGGAATAAAACTTGCTGAGTCAAAGAATATAAAAGATCCATTTAATTTTTAAAATTTGCATATCTGTTTTTGCAAACAATATAAGCTCAAGGGAAGCAATCAAATGAAAGAAAAGTTACACCATAAAAAGTTATCCCCTTATCCCAAACCTCCGGTCCCCAAGGAAAGCGTCCTGCAGTAAAACACGGTTTTAACTCAGGTAATCCTAGGCCGGAGCTTGCACAGAGAAGACTCGGAGGCCCTGTGTGTAGCTCTTCTCCCTGCGTCCTTCATCTGCCGGCTGACCTTTTCTCCTTGCCCTGTCCTTTCCCTGAAAAGCTGCGCCATTTGCACTCGCGGGTTTTACTTACCCTTGCAGAGAGGGAGATGCGAATGTTTTACAGTGTTAGGTGCACTGCACAGAAGGTTTGAAACACTTTTTTTATGGCTGTGTCTGAGCGTTTTTCCTTGGGGCTGTTTATAGCCGTTGGTGTTTGACTTCTCACTTTCCTACTTTGCTCACTATTTAAAAATTAAGGTCTTCACATGGTGGTGGGCTGTTTTATCCATGCTTTTATATATATTAAGCGTATGTATTAGCCTTTTGTTATCCTATTACAGGTAACTACGTACCCCATTTTCTCAGTCTATTACTACTTTTTAATTTTACTTGATTCCAAGAGGGTGAGGGAGCCAGTTCACATTTTTGTATATTCATTTCTGTGTATCATTAATTCTCTTTTAGTTGTGTATCTTTAAAAACCTTCACTTTTGTTAGAATTCTTTGTAAAGTAAAAAGTTAAGAGGGACCCCCCCCCCTTTGATTTTTTTTAATAAAAGGTTAAGGTATAGAGCTGTCACACACAAGTTACTACTTTTTGAAAATTACTAGATTTGGATTTAAATTACTAAATTTCAAATCTATAAAGCCTGGTTGAAGGAGGTTTAACTTTACCACTGGAGATAGACAGGATTTGTCACTGTTGATTGTCCAGCCTGTCCCCGAGCAGTGTGAGTGTGTGTCAGCAGCTAGGGGTGTTGTCCATAAAGGTCACACACAGTGTCTGTTCCAAGGGTGGCCTCAGGTGAGCTCAGACATAGTTATTCTCTGGTCCTCCCAATTTAACTTTGATTTTTGCTCTTAACTTTAAAACTGAGATGGCAAAGAGTGACCAGGGAATAAAGAAGGTATTGTACTGTATGAGTTATTTTGTATTTTGGCTTTGATTCACTATGTAGAATTGTTGGCTATGATTTTGATAACTTGGTCACTGATAACGTATTTAAAATTAGAATGAAATGAAAATATATGATCCATGAATCATTAATATAATAATAATAATAAAAGACTGAATCTGGTTTTCACAATCAACACATTTGTTAATCCTTTCAAAGTATGTAGATCATATTATGAGCTACTTAGTTAAGTAACCACTCTGTACTCTGTACTTCACCAAAAGTACTTAAAATTTTTAAAGATCATAAAACATAAAAAGGAACATTAATTCAAAAGCATGTAGTTCAAATATTAGTAAATTTAAGATTTATCTTTAAATTTTCCTGCTCAGGAGAAATTGCATCTAAAGAAAATCATTGCCTTCTTATGTTTGGTGATCTCATGTCACTAGAGAAGGAACATGCTGCAAATCACCTGTGTGGATGGACAGCACCACGCCCCACTTTCCTGAGCCTTATTTGTATTCAACAGTATCTTTTGTTGCAGGGCTTTTATCCTGAAACTTTCAGGACAGTCTTATTTCCAGGGAAGAGCATGAGTTCCTCCTATTGTTGTATGGGCTTCTCAGGAGCAACCGTGGGGCAGAGAGGAATGTTGATGTGGGAGAAGCTGTGTGTTAGAATCCAGTGCCTGGCGAGGTAATGGGCTGCTGGATGTGAGTGAGAGAAATCATAATACCAGCTGTCCCCTACCTTCTGAGCTCTCTCACCCTTCCAGTAATGCAGGGAAAGTACTCTCCTCCCATCTGACCAATGAGGAACCTGGGACTTGGGTAAACTGTGTCTTGTTCCTGGTGAACACAGTTACAGTGAAAACTGACAGAAGGTCCAAATTTCACTCTGAACATAGCCACTTTCAGAGGGAAACTGCTTGATGGAACCCTCAGTAACTGGGAGAAGCTGGATTGGAACTTGTGACAGGAGACGAAACTAGAGGGATAGGTGTGGAAAATCCCCTGCACGCTGGGGATTTGCTGGCTGTGTATTCCGGAGTAACCATGGTGGAGTGAGTTTGCTGTTTAGCCTCGCACTGGTCGTGTGCCCTCTCTGCAGCATGGACACATGGATGAAGTGGCATCACTGATGAGTTTTCTCAGCCCTGTCCTGCTCTGTCACCTGCTGATTACAGTGAGCTGCTGTGCAAGGATTCCAAAGCAGGAGGGTGGGACACGTCGGGGTAGGGTGGTGGCAGGTTTTTGGAATCCCTGTCTAGATACTCAGAGAACAAAAAATGGGATTATTTCTTTAAATTTTAACTAAAATTAAATAGCCCTTTATTATTTTGTTAAGGAAAAAATCAAAGAAATATATTAGCACCGTCATATTACAAAGAAGAGACTATCAGCTTATAAAGAAGTAACTGGCTAGACTTTAAGAATGGGTCCACCGAGGACACAAAACTGAGTGGTGATCTGAGCTGCTCCGGGCTCTGCCATGGTCTCGCCTCCTGTGCCCAGGTTTCCGCTGCAGCCCCGGGGTTTTACTAGTGACAGGGCAGCTCCTGAGGCTGTGTCTCCTCAGTAAGGCAGAGACATTGCCAGGCAACTTGGAGACATCAGGATCTCTCTGGGAAGATCTTGCCAAAGTAGCTGTGTGACAGGGTTAGGAGCGGCCAGAGGAGAGGCAGGCTGTGTGGGATGTGTGTTTGAAGAATGTGCCGGAATGTTTGTGTAAACATAGATACTTTCTAATCTCGGTCCCTTCTGCCATCTTCGGGGGCGAGCCACACTTCCCTGGGGACTCTGTGTTAAAAAGATTGTGCTAAGAAAGGGCCAAGAGCTGAGAGCCACCGCTCTGGCAGTGGTGTGTGTTTGCGTAGCCTGGGAGATGTTTCAGAACTGCGCACACGTGCTCATTGTCCATAACACACTCCCCACGTATGAGCCGTCGTGACAGATGCCTCCTCTCTCAGGGTGCTCAGGGACTACAAAGTCACTCCCAGCACAGCATCTGCAGTTGTGGAATTCGAGCAAACCTGATGGACAGAGCCAGAGCGCACACAGTCGTCTATGTGTGACAGATGCGTAGCGTGTTTCCGTGAATACCAAGTGTGTCCCCACGGCTGCTGATGTCACCCGTCTTTGACAATCAGGAGTTGGCTTGGCAAGGAAAGCAATGCGGCCGTGCAGATCTGTGGTTATTGTTCCGTCGCATTGTTTACTGTAAACCTGGTTCAGTGTTGGTAAACACAATGTAGCAGAAACCAAACTGTGTGAGCTCGCCGGGCACCGGGCCAAGATATCATTAAAAATACTGCCTCAGACTAATTTGGGTTTGTGAATAATATTTTAACAGCTCAAGTGAAATTGAGCCACGTGACGTGGCTTAAAAATTCTGAATCCACCAGATAATGAGAGTAGCATGTGTGCCACCCAGTAAATAGCCTGTACTTGAGTATTAAATTTATATGCAATTTTATATTAACTGTTCAACTCTAAGTGCCCGCATGCTTTCTATGAATTTTCAGTTTTTAAAGTTTACATAATGCTGTGAATTAAATGCCTGAAAGCTAAAATATTAACTGATTTGACAGTGGAAACTGGAGAATGAGAGACTGCTAAGTAAGTCTTAAAATAGATACTCAGTGCAAGTTTTGGCCTGTGGTTCTACAGATTGCTAGAGTTTACATTAACATTTAGTAAAAAAGATCAAAGGACATAAAGTTGTTAGAAAATTCCAATAATCTCATTCATTTATTTTACTAACAATTTTTGCCTTATTCTAGGATTTGGAGATTTTTAATGTTTGGTCATAAATTGTTGGTTACGTTAAGTGTAATAAAAACCAGGAGATTCTTTTGGGGTCAGTGCGATACTGAGGATTGAACCCAGGGACCTTTGCACCAAGCACTTTCTGTGTTTATTTTGAGATGGGTCTTGCCAGGTCGCTGAATTGTCTAGGGTGGGGTTAAGCTCAGTCTTCCTGGCTTGGCCTCCCAGGATGCTGGGATGACAACCTTGCTCCTGCGCTCCTGTGGGAATGGTGTTCTGACGAGAGATGTCTCAGGAGCGAAGTCTGTATTCAGATGCTTCTTTCCAACAGACACATTTATCTTTTTATTTCTGTCCTATTTTAATTAGTTTAAGTTCATTCTGGCTATGAATATATAGATTTCCATTGAAAAGGTGTGGGAAGGATTTATTTCCTGTCACTGTTATTGTATGTAATATTTTTCTATAGAAAGATGTGCATTATTATTAGGATGAATTTTAAATATTCCTCTTCTCAATAAATGTTTTATTCATTTTTCAGGTTAGCACTCTATGTATATGAATATCTGCTCCATGTAGGAGCTCAGAAATCGGCCCAAACATTTTTATCAGAGGTATGTTTTATGTATTTTCTGCATTGCATTTTGATATCTTATATAAATGAATGAAATTATACTGTAAGACTTGTTTGAAAAATTGATTGTTATATATTATGTAGTGAATGCTGTTATCAGTATGCAAAATATAGTCAGTCATAGGTGATCATATTTTTAGTATCCTGGAGCGTTATTTCTGTGCCTTTCAACAACCTTCTAGTCAGCTTTGCAGCCATTTATTCCCCTTTTAAACAGAAAATAGTCTAAGCATGGCAAGAATAATCAAGAAAGCTAATTTTCTTTAAAAACAAAAATCCACCATGTCACCATTTCTAACATTATCTTATTTTGACATTATTCAATTTTGTGATTTTTATTTATTTTTGTTTACATGGATAATAGTTGATCATTATAGGAAACATTTTGATAAGCTTTTTTCAAGTTCTTGTTTCTCTTTCTCTTTTCACTTTGTTAAACTTTGAATTTGAGCTTTCCTACAATGGTATTTTTTCTTCAGTCCACGTTACAATGCTAAGGGTATTGAGTGTGTTGAGCTGTGTTCTGTGGCAGATGCATCGGATGCCAAGATACACTGCATATCTTAGCTTTAATTCTTTTAAGCGATTTGTGAAGCCGGTCACATTTTGCTGTTTATCACTAAATCGGGATGACAGTGCTCAGAGAGCTTATGTGCAGACTCGCAGTGCTTGCACAGTGTAGTGAGTTGTGCGCCTGGAGTTCAGCCTACGTCTGTGTGCACTCCCAGCCCCTGGCCCCCGGTGCTGGGCTGTGCAATGTGGTAGCTGACAGCGCCGAACACCTTGGAGCTCTTGAAATGTAATGATTCAGAGGGTAGTGCTGCCTCTGTGGAGTGTGTGTTATATTTCGAAGGCCTATTCTGAACAAAGAATATAAAATTTCAGTACATTTACAATTTCCATCACATTATTATCACATCAATATTTGGGCACACTGGATAAAAAATGTATTGTTAAAGTGAGTTTTACTCACTTTGTGGTATGATATTAGCACATTTGAGATGGCACATGCAACTCTTCCTGTGGCCCATGCTCCTGTGACTGCTGGGCGGCACTGCTTGGTGTCTCACTGTCCAGAGGTCCCCCAGGCATGGCCTGCAAGGCTGCCTGAAGCATCTCCCTTGAAACTCATTCACCTCACAAACAAACATATAGGAAAGAAACACACAACCCTAGACCCCATCAGCCAGCATGAATCAGCAGGGCAAATTAGAGGTTAGTAATTTTAGAGGTTCGGTGCAGACTTCTCAAAAATCAGGAGTAGAGGCAGTATAATGAAAATTTATTTAAATCAGAATAGAAGCTGGGTTTGCCAAGCTTCTTGAAATCATTGATCAGCAGTGCATGGGCCATCACCTGCCTGATATTGCAGGGGAAGTGACAACACGTCTTCTGTATTTGTGTTCTTAACCACAGCCAACTCCCACAACGGTGGAAGCTAAGGCCCACCCTGGAGGGTAAACTTTTTATTCTAATGCAGGCAGGTACTTGATGGAAGGCTTTTCAGATCTCTTTTTTTGTACCTTGGACCACTTTGAATTGGCTCAGCTTGGTGGATCCTCAGGGCTTTCCTAGACTGTGTTTTCTCTCCAACATTATATCAGTGCAGCAGTTACTAAACATCATTCAAAAAGGAAAATGTTGTAACTTATTTAAGTAAGCTCAGATATTTGGGCTCAAATGGGTTATGTGAACTAAGCAGATAACTCAATTCTATAGTCCAAATCTCTGAGCTCATTGGAAAATGGATAGAAACAAATTCTAGGGCAGTTTAGTAGAAATGGAATTAGAATTTCAGAACAGATTCGAGTATTTACTCTGATTTTATTTTCTCTGGCTGCATTTGGAATACAAAGCTGATTGCTCTGAATTATGAGTCTGGCTCAGTTTTACAAGAGAAATCAGTTAAATTGAAAACAAACTGTTGTCATCAGGTAGGTAGAATGTTCCTGCGTTTTGGAGATGAATATGTGCAACTCTCCAAGCTATTCCTCCCTTTCTAGTTAGTCAAACCCTGACCCTGTGAAAATACATTCTTAATGCCTAAATAACCAATATAGGGGTAGCTAAATGAATCTTGTAAGTGTTCCATAACATAAGAGAATCAGATCTATTCGGCCTTCCATAGCTGGATGGCGAAACACTGACCAGTGGTAAAGGAGGCTAAAGTATCCCATTTATATGGGGACCCTGGAATATGAGGCGACCCTGTGTATTTTGTGGGTAGTATGAATTCATGAATGTAAAGCACAGTAAAGCTCTGAAGGAATGTACCTACTAGAAGAGTTGTTATTCAGAGTATGGATGTTAGTTAATTAAAGGGACCAGGGGATATTATTCTTAATTGCAGGGTTTTGCATATGCTTAAAAATACATACATTATTTTATAGTTCTTTAAAAATAAAAGTAACAGAAAATATATTCTCTTAAGTTATTTGAATGTGAACCGGGGAGCCTGGAAGTGTGTTCGCAGGGGGCCATTGCTGTCCTCATCGTCTCAGCGGCTGGCTCCCGCTATGCCTTCCAAGTTTCTGGGCCCGCCTGCTGCGGTCGCCTGTCCGCTGTCCTCTGGGCTACATTCCAGTGTGGTCTGTGGGCCTGAACCCTCTCCCCTTCACCCAAGTTCCCTAGCAGCCACTCTTCCTTCAAGCTCAAATGCCTTCCGCTGAATCGTGTACAAAGCCCTTTACGTCCGATGTAGGGAAGTTTGTGCTTTATGTTCTCCTAAGAAAGAGCTTTTAAACATTCTAAGGTAAAAAGATAACAGCGTTAGGTCTGCTCGCTGGTGCCTGTGTGATGTTGTTCCCTAACTGTGGACAGTACAGAAGCAGAATGTCGTGGATTAAATTCTGTACACTCCAGGGCTGCTCTTTTTTCTGACTCTACTTGGAGCACGTGGAGCACTGAAGGCTGCTGGTAGTAGGACGACCTCTCTCCTCGCTTAGCCATTCTGGACCGTTAACCTGAATCTTCCCTGTCCTAGCCCCAGATTCAAGCTCCTCGAGAACTGTTACAAAAGGAAATAAAACAACGAGGCGGACTCATTTGCCTTATTGTGATAAAAAGGAAATGATTGTGGTGGTTCCGGTTATTCAGATGTTCAATGTTCTTACTCTGGTCCAAGGCAAAGTAGCATATGTCTTCCCATTTTGATCAGCAAGGTTAGGGGTGACCGTGATGTTAACGAGCCCTTCGGAATCAGGATTGAGGGTGTTGGCCATTCCTCTCACTAGCGTGGACAGGTGTCAAGGCTAACTTGTGCAAAGAAAGCACTGGAGGTATCAGTGGACCTGGGCCATTGGAAGCTTTTTGGTGGTCAGATGAGAGGAAGGCATAATGTTTGTTAACCCAGCTCATTTTTCCTTTCCTAATTAAAAATGAAACAGTGGACAAGGCGCTTCTCTAACTAGGCTGTGCTAATTAGTTCAGTGTTAACTCTGATACATGATAGGTTTTCAGCCACTACTTAACCATGAGTATAGTTTGTATGGTTTCATTTTCTTGCTCATAATGAGGAAGATTGACTAGTCTTTAGAAATATTCTCAATGTAATCCTTCTGCTTTATCTTTATTATCCTTTAATTTTCAACAGCTACTAACTGAATGTTAAGAAGTCTTTCCAATTCTATACCAGTTTTTATTACTTTAGATTCATTAGAAGCTATTTTCTGATTATATTATTTTAATATAGAAAGATAATTCTTGCTTATTCCTGAAGTTCTGCATGGTATTTATACCTCAGAGTGAGGCTCAATGTCCGTAATAACTAAAATTAAAAATTTAGACTGTGACACAGTCTAATTCTTAAAAATTTTACATGGTTTATACTATATTATTAACCAACAGTTAGCTTAGAATGGAAACCTAAAAACACAGAATGGTTAGCTTCTTGAGATTTTATTAGGGATGCTATTATTGAACACTGTAGACTCCAAAGTTCCACTCTGTCTCTCTTTCACCCACCTGAAGAAAGAAGACATAGTTATTATTTCCTAGCCAGCTTCTCCAGCTTTCTTTTGGAGGCTGTGTAGCCTTGCATGTAGAATTGTGCTGAGCTTTGAACGACTTTGTGCACATAATTGCTTGGAACAGTGCCTGGTATGGAGTATGTGCCCCAGAAGGTTATTTTAAAAAGCTTGCTGGCCAGCACTTTCCTATTTTGTGCAGTGCCTTCTTTCAGAGTACCACGTGTAAGCATCCTCTTGTGTGCACACATGTCGCTTGGGTGGCCCACAGCCTTCCTTCCTGCCTTTTGGTGTTAGCATTTTTATCCAAGGGCTCTGGTGCTGGGCTCAAGGACTGCAGTGCATCTTGAGGCTTCTCCAGCATCTATGAGCCTGCTTCAGGGTGCCCGGGGCGCTGTTCGGTAACTGCTGCCCTGCTGACTCTTCCAGTCTCACTCTGGTTCCTCTGGTCTGTGGCTGAAGGTTTGTTTCCTTCATGGCTTCAGAGCTCTTAAGAACACAGTGCTCCTGTGTGCAGGTTATTACAGAAGGGCTGGGGGCAGCCGAGGAGATTTAAGCACAATCTGGGTGACAGCATTACTTTGCATGTTGGCTAGACACAGCTGCCCCTGCCTGTTGACTCTTTCTAGGAGGAGTTCTCCCTAACTGTCTTTCTGCGGGTGCCATTTGCATTCTTCCTCTTTGATACCTTGCAGCCTTTCCTGTCCCCTCCTCTTCTGAATCTTCTCAGATGTCCCAGCCTGCTTCCTGCGGTATCATTGGCAATCTCCTATGGTCTCATCATGCCGAATATTGAGTGTTTGCTTCCTTTGTACGTTCCTGTTCGTTCTTCCCATTTCTAGGGGTCTGTCTTTCTGGGTCAAAGAATGAAACCAAAATCAGAAGCAAATAAAGGAAGGATCCAGCAAGGAATCTTCCTATCAAAAGAGTTTTTTCTAAAAGGGCCACTCCCTCCCTTCTGAAGCAGAGCCACACTGTCCAGTGACTTCCTGTGATTATGGCGGGGAAGTCTAAC